ATATATATATATATATATGTTAACAGATAAAAGAGGATGAAGAAATTAATAAAGGGAAGAAAAATTATAATAAAATGGTTTCTAAACAACTTAGCCAATTGCTATATCCCAAGCACGGTTGCACCTTGCACACACAGACACAACCATATGATGAGTCATGTCTTTGAGATATGGATTGATGCCTGTGTTCCCTTATGCACAGTTGCATGTGGTCCTTGATTGGCCAAGTGCCCTTATAAAATTCCTTTAAAAATGAAATGACTAAACGGATTAGTGGTCCCAACTCCCTCATTTGGCACTAAGCAGGGATATCCTGAGACCACACTGGAACTTTGAAATTATGCCTTTTAATCTCCTGGGGCCACAGTAAATGATTTAGATTAACATTTGTAAAAAGCTACAGCTTAGGATTCATATGGAATACCCATATCTATGAGAATAATTATTATAAGTTTAAAACAAGAAGTAAAATAAAAGCCTTTTGTCTCATGCCAGTACAGTTCTTTTCTGTTAATTATTAAATTGTTACTATAGTTAAAGGATGAAACATACTTATACAACGGATAGAGATATTTTAATCCAGTGATGGACACTGCACAAATTTTCTATAATATTAAGTACCGTTTGATGGTGATGGAGTATGAGTTAGATGATCACATTTGTCCATATTTTGATCCAGCTTCGGTTCAGTGAGAAACGGACCCCAGCATCAAACTCAGCTAACGCTCGCTGCAACTCTGGCCTTGTCTTATTGACTGGTTTTGGCATCGTCTGGAAATTGATCACACTAAGTCATTGACTTTTTTGCTAGCAGGGTAGTGCATTCAATAATAATAAGATAATTAATTAATGTGCTCATCAATGAAACAGTAATGATTAAAGGTTAAAGACTAAACGGTCCCATAATAAAAGACTTTTCAAGTTTCAACAAAGGAAAATTGACAGATAAGCACATCTCATATCTTGCATGCAACTGAAAAGAGTGGAGGATGAAAATTTTTAAAGGAGGATTTGTTTGTGTGGGGAGGGGGGTTCATCTTTTGGGAGGGAAAAAATCCAAAAAAGACTACCTGTAAAACCCAGGCAGGTTTGGCTCTATCTGGTGGAACTATTTGTTACAACCAAGGCTTGGTTGCCGCCTTTGCCAATTGTACCCTTAATTCCTCCTTTTCTCCCCTTTTTCATGGATTTTCTCTTGTCTCTCCCCTCATTCTGTCTCCTTAAATACCCCATAGGTTCATTGGTTTCAGAATCAAAAACTACAGAGACCTGCTCGGAGCTCAAAGTCATTTTGAGTTAAGCATAAGATTTAGAGTATTCCCCTCCTCTTTGATGGCCTCCTCTTACTCATTCTGTCCCTCTGTTACATAATTAAGGGTACGTAGCTCTTTATTTTGCTGTCAAATGAGACAGTGAATTAGCTAGCTTTTACCCAGTGTATTTATTTAATTAAATCTTTCCGAGTATTGCAATTTGATACTGTTTTGTTTTGATGATGCGGGTTCTAGTCAAGTTCAAGGTGAGGCTCCTTAATGAAAATTGTTATATCTCTCCCATTGGTGAAATGATGCGCTTGCCTGGCTCCCTGAATGCCATGTAAGAAGCCTGCCAAAGAAATTGCCAGCCTTTTTATTTGGCATTAGGGGAGTCATGCAGGCTAACTAGTCAATCATATATGAGGAGAGTTGTACATAATTGTTATTTATTATGATTGCCTCACTCCCTGTATTCTATGTAAGAAGCTTGTCAAAAGGAACTCACAGCGTTTTCACCTGACATAAGGCGAGTCATACATGCAGGCTGACTAGTCACTCAATCATATATGAAGTAAGATATGTAAGTTTTGATGATGTTGATTGTTATTTACTCTGATTGATGAAATGATGGAATTGCCTGGTCCTCTGTATGCCACGTAAGAAGCTTGTAAAAAAGGATTTTACAACCTTATTTACTTGGCCTATGGGGGCTCATGCAGGCTCATTAGATTTTTAACCAATCGTCATGAAGATATGTTAAGAATACAAAATCCAATAGGAAAAAGTTATCCATCAACTTAAAAAGAACAGAAGAAACAAATTTAATTGACCAGGCAATTAAAAACAAATCAATGGCTTTCAAATTCCAATTGTAGCTAATTAATAGTATACATAGAGCTTAGGTTCTTTAACTTATCAGCCTCCCATAAAACGTTAGCATGATTGGTCTTTCCATCATTGAGAAGGTAACCAAACCAATTAATAAGACCAACCACAAACACTCATCATTCATAAGCATCACATATGAGCACTAAAGTATGTCTATGATAGAAGTTTTCATTTCAATGCTGATGGTTCGTAGCAGGGCGGCCAGTATATATGGTAACAAGCTTTTCATTTCGCATTTACTTCTCGTGCAAACAACTATTAGTGCCCATTTGATGCACGGAATTGGAAATGGAATTGGTGCTTAGACTTGGAATTATGACATTTGGAAGTTCATCCAGAATTGGAACAACTCTAAAGTCCAATTCCATGGAATTATAATATAATTAAAGCGAACATTTCTCAGTTCCAAAACTCTACCCTCTATATTACAATTCCTAAGTTCATCCTCACTATTTTGTTGTTCTCTCCATCTCTGTTGCTCCTGCTACCAGACACAATGTCATCACCCCTACCATCGCAATCCCTACCACCAATCACTGCCAGACTCCCACTGATTGCCGTTGCGGTGCCACCCCCTTGACCAACTACGTCCACTCCAATCATCGCTGTCCTTTTTATTACCACTGCCAACAATGATTGCTACCGCGTCACTCTCATAATATTTGTTGTTGCCAACATCACCATACTCATTCTCCCCACCCCCAATAACCACCGTCACTCTTACCATCACCAATCACCATTCTTACCACATCAATGGCCATCACCACTCTGCCACTCTTGTCGCTATTTACCATCTCCACCACCTATCCACACTAACCATTGTAATTGTACCCACAACTACCCCTAGCTAAATAGAGATGTCAAAAAACGAAATTGAAATCAAACTTGGAATTGTAATTGTAGCGTCTAATTCATTACACAACACAAACATAGGAATTATAATTCCAAACCAATAGGAATAGGAATAGGAATTACAATTTTGAACAACAATTCCAATTCTAAGCACCAAACGAATCCATAAATGTTTTATAATGGATGCATTACTTAGAAAATTTTAGAAACCATTCATCACTGAAAATTTAGTGAAAAACAAAATAGGATAAATAATTCTTCTCAGAAATCATACAGATACTATTCATAATATGGGTAAAGACATATTCATCCTACCTTAAAGTGAACATTAGGTGAATATTTTAGTCAAAAACAGGACTCGAGGTGGCTGTAGAGGATACTGCTCCAGAATAGAGAAAGTAAACTGGAACTCGCACCCCTCGTAAAGAGTTTCAGAGGGACCCCAACTGTAAGCAAAACAAATCAAGCAATTGTCAGAATCATCACAAACAGTTCTAATTACCAATAGTCAGCATACCTTGATAAGACCCTTTCCATTTAAAAATGTTAGAATCAACAAAGACTGCTTTAATATCAGGATCAACAGTCTTTTTCTTGCTGCATTTCTTTGTACTCCTTGTACAGCCAGCCTTGCCCTCGATGCCTGCACTTACTACACACCCCCAAAAGGTGAAAGATCTTACAATTGAAGAATAAACTTTAAGACAAATGCAAGAGATGACATCAAAATTAGGAACAAAACACCACCACCTTGCAAAGTTAATAAAAAAATATAACCTACACACCATAACAAATACATCTATTCAGATTCATTCCCATAAACAAGTCCAAATCACACCAATTAACATTAGCAATTGAATCCATCACCAGCTCTAACCAGAAAACTAAAAAGAACACACAAAAATACAGAGAATAATGGATCGGAAATGAATGAAAAAAGGTAAAAAGAAAAAAAAAATGTGTCAGTGAAACCCTAAAAGAATGGACCCCACTATGAAGACTATAGTCTTTGGTACAGTTGACATTGCCCTTTGTTCCCTCCATCTAAAAAATCCCAGTAGTTTTAATTAAGAACTTGTTTAAGGTAAAAATTAAGATTAAAATCAAATTATATGTAAACTAATTTGAATAATTTTTATTTAATTTTTTTAATGTACATTTAAGTTCACTTTTACTAAATAGAATCCTAATCACTTTTTTTTCTTATTTTAGTTTTTAAGAGTTTTTTTTTTATGAGTAAACTTGTCTAAATGTATATTTATTCTACATTAAAAGGTGTAACTTGTCTAAATTGCTTTGAATATAGGAGAGAATTATACCACCACAAGTTATAATTTTTTTTTACCTTTTTCATATTAAAAAGGTTAACAAATATATTATATAAAAGGAGTTAAAATAATATCTTTTAAAGAAATAAAAAATTTGGTGTAAGATAAAAAAATAGAAGGGTTAAATATGTTTTTGGTCCCTTAACTTTCAGCGAAAATTGGAATTAGTCCCTCTTCAAAACTTTGACCTAATTTAGTCCCCAAACTTTAGAAATGTGTGAATTTAGTCCTTTTAACTAAATTTTGTTAGGTTTATTTGATGTTTCAAGTGCGTTTCATGATAGCATTTGAGTTGTTTACACCGTTTGACACATTTTTGCTTCAATGTTCACTGAGAAATGCGTTTGAAACATCAAAAAAAGTTAACAAAATTTGTTTAAAAGGACTAAATTCACACATTTTTAAAGTTTGGGGACTAAATTAGTTCAAAGTTTTGAAGAGGGACTAATTCCAATTTTCGCTGAAAGTTAAGGGACCAAAAACATATTTAACCCAAAATAGAATTGATTCTCCAATCTAAGTATAACGAAGTGTTAATTAGTGTAATTTAATACAAAACTATATAACATTAATATATATTAATTTGTGAACTATACATAAATTATTTTTAAATATTTATATATATTCATATAATACATCCAAAAAAATAAAAGTTGTTTAGGGTTTACTTTGTTTTCTTGGTAGTGATAATTTCATATCAAGTGTCCACTTGTGCTGCATATGCTAAATCTATAGACACATATCATCATATCACATTCTCAAATATATAATCACTCATCATTTTCATTTTCTTAATATTCTATGTCCATTGTATCAATCACCCTATAAAAACTATAATTTATAACAATATATCCTTATTTAATTTCAAGTTAAACAATAAAAAAAGTATAAATGTACAAAAATGTGGTTTGAATGTGCATTCTCACTTTATAATCATCCCTCGACAACATAGAGAATTGCTTTAATGTCTTTTATTCTCAAACGATGTTAGATTGATCTTGAGATGCAATCTATCTCTTGAATACATAATTGGATAAAAACAAGTATTGCTTTAATCTAAAAGAATTTATCCTCTACATTATTTAAATTATATTTATTTTTATTTAATTAGATTTGATGAAATTAATACATTCAAATACCAAATTTAAATATCTCTCAAATTAAAATAACATCAAATAACTTAATTTAAAGTAATAAATTTAATAAAACCTAAATAATTTACACAAAGACAACATATTTATCAATATGTACACTTGCATAAATGAAGGATCTATCCTAAGATGTAATCCAACTAAATACATATTTTCAAAACAATTCCTTTTAAGTTGAATAAATTATATCATTTTATTTTACCTTAATTATTGTACTTATTAAAAAATGTATCCCAAAATTAGATAAGCTAAAAAATTTCTAACTTCCTTCCTATAATTTGTTTAAAATATAATCATAAAATATACATTGTTCATTTCATTTTAGTTCTTTTCTTTAAACTTATAAAAAAAAAACTCTTTACAAAATATTTCTTTATAAAATTAATTATTTAATAAAAAACAATATTTAACATATTAAGAAAAAGAGTGAGTGTAATAACAATATAACAAATTACATAATCATTGTTATCATTTTTATCAATTGAAAACACAAAACTTCTTATGACTATTATGAATAAAAGTTAGTGATTGTTAAAAAATTCAGATTTTATTAGTTATCTTGTTTATTGTTTAATAATTTTATTTTTATTTATAATGTGATAATCTCGTGCTGAGTTGAAAATATACATACAGAGTGTTCGAGAAAAAGAATGGTTAGGTTAGGCATGCATACTAAAATATTTGTCTAATTACTTATCATATATCTATTTAAAAAATAATTACAATTTTTTTAAAATTTGTATTCATTAATATTTCAAACAAATTAATTTATAAGTTTTTAGAATGAGATCAAATAAACTTACATAAAAAAATATAAATTCATATTTTATTATGATCAATTATTATGCATGTAGTTTTATTATAAATTAAAAAAAAATATTGTTGATAAATTTATTATGACCAATTATGTATGTAAAATAATCAAATTAATTCTGAAAACTAATTTGAACACTTAAATCTTATACAAGATAATATTCAATAAGACTATATTTATATATTTAATTATTTTAGACTACACTAGCAAACTCGGTTAAGGACAGTTTTTTTCAACTTAGTCAAACATAAAGAAATTGCAGCAATATCAGAACATGTTTCAAGCACAAGATTTAACACCTCAACCTCAAAATATTTGATTTTGCTTTGTATATATTTTAGGGTTTATTTTTAATTTGGGTTAAAAAAAAGATAGAGAAGAGAAAAGTTAAACATTAATATCTTAATTATAAACACCCTCTGCAACTCAATGCGAAAATACAACAATTATATATATAACCTCTAAGTATTGAGGTGTTCAAAAAATTAAATTGAATTAATTAAACACTAATTTTTTATCTCATCCATGAATAAATAAATCAAACAGAGCATAGTAGTAGATAACTAAACTGTACAACAAAGTGAGGTCATAAACTATCTCAACAAAAATAGTTGTACAAAATGATAGTGAATGAAGCAAGTTGAAGATAATTGAAAAAAATAAATAAATAAAAAGATAAGCAAGCAAAATAGAAAAAAAAGAAAATTGGTGGTTAGAACAAAACGGATAGTACCTATTTGTGAGAAATGATGAGAACGATGATGTGATTAGGACTAACTATTTATCCTATGAGTGTGGTGTAAAAAAACCTAGACAGGGAGCAACTTGAAAAAAAAAGAAATAAAAAATTTGGTGTAAGATAAAAAAATAGAAGGGTTAAATATGTTTTTGGTCCCTTAACTTTCAGCGAAAATTGGAATTAGTCCCTCTTCAAAACTTTGACCTAATTTAGTCCCCAAACTTTAGAAATGTGTGAATTTAGTCCTTTTAACTAAATTTTGTTAGGTTTATTTGATGTTTCAAGTGCGTTTCATGATAGCATTTGAGTTGTTTACACCGTTTGACACATTTTTGCTTCAATGTTCACTGAGAAATGCGTTTGAAACATCAAAAAAAGTTAACAAAATTTGTTTAAAAGGACTAAATTCACACATTTTTAAAGTTTGGGGACTAAATTAGTTCAAAGTTTTGAAGAGGGACTAATTCCAATTTTCGCTGAAAGTTAAGGGACCAAAAACATATTTAACCCAAAATAGAATTGATTCTCCAATCTAAGTATAACGAAGTGTTAATTAGTGTAATTTAATACAAAACTATATAACATTAATATATATTAATTTGTGAACTATACATAAATTATTTTTAAATATTTATATATATTCATATAATACATCCAAAAAAATAAAAGTTGTTTAGGGTTTACTTTGTTTTCTTGGTAGTGATAATTTCATATCAAGTGTCCACTTGTGCTGCATATGCTAAATCTATAGACACATATCATCATATCACATTCTCAAATATATAATCACTCATCATTTTCATTTTCTTAATATTCTATGTCCATTGTATCAATCACCCTATAAAAACTATAATTTATAACAATATATCCTTATTTAATTTCAAGTTAAACAATAAAAAAAGTATAAATGTACAAAAATGTGGTTTGAATGTGCATTCTCACTTTATAATCATCCCTCGACAACATAGAGAATTGCTTTAATGTCTTTTATTCTCAAACGATGTTAGATTGATCTTGAGATGCAATCTATCTCTTGAATACATAATTGGATAAAAACAAGTATTGCTTTAATCTAAAAGAATTTATCCTCTACATTATTTAAATTATATTTATTTTTATTTAATTAGATTTGATGAAATTAATACATTCAAATACCAAATTTAAATATCTCTCAAATTAAAATAACATCAAATAACTTAATTTAAAGTAATAAATTTAATAAAACCTAAATAATTTACACAAAGTCAACATATTTATCAATATGTACACTTGCATAAATGAAGGATCTATCCTAAGATGTAATCCAACTAAATACATATTTTCAAAACAATTCCTTTTAAGTTGAATAAATTATATCATTTTATTTTACCTTAATTATTGTACTTATTAAAAAATGTATCCCAAAATTAGATAAGCTAAAAAATTTCTAACTTCCTTCCTATAATTTGTTTAAAATATAATCATAAAATATACATTGTTCATTTCATTTTAGTTCTTTTCTTTAAACTTATAAAAAAAAAACTCTTTACAAAATATTTCTTTATAAAATTAATTATTTAATAAAAAACAATATTTAACATATTAAGAAAAAGAGTGAGTGTAATAACAATATAACAAATTACATAATCATTGTTATCATTTTTATCAATTGAAAACACAAAACTTCTTATGACTATTATGAATAAAAGTTAGTGATTGTTAAAAAATTCAGATTTTATTAGTTATCTTGTTTATTGTTTAATAATTTTATTTTTATTTATAATGTGATAATCTCGTGCTGAGTTGAAAATATACATACAGAGTGTTCGAGAAAAAGAATGGTTAGGTTAGGCATGCATACTAAAATATTTGTCTAATTACTTATCATATATCTATTTAAAAAATAATTACAATTTTTTTAAAATTTGTATTCATTAATATT